AATTATTTATTTGTAAATTTCTTTGTAAGCCTTTCGGACCCTTGAGTCATAGCCGGGGGTCCTGCTGGTGGGGTCCAGGAGTAACGCCCCGATGAGGGAACAGGGAACGAAGCCCCATGGAAGGTTCTGGATTTTTAGTAGTTTTAAAGAGATAAACTGATTTCTGTACCAAGATCCCACACATCTTTATTTAGATAATAGATGACATAATGGTTGTCCAATGTTCAACACCATACTCAGTGTAGCTGCCCCTCTCAGTTGCGTTATCAACAGTTGGGTAAAGAACTGGCCATGTTCATCCAATTTGGGATACGAAGTCTTGTAATCGGAGTCTCGGTCCACTTGTGAGATCCCGTGTTGGCTTAACCCATCCTTTTGAAAATACGAGTGGTTGTGATGATAGGATATGTGTGAAAAAAAAAACTTCCATGAGCCTATCCATTTCCTTCTGAAGTCTGAAATAATAGTTCTTGTACTCTACTCTTTTTTAGGTCTGACAGCAATCCATTGTTCTCAACCAGGCTCCTTCTAAGGTCTGCCTGATTGTCAGACATCAATTCACACTAATTCTTTTGGCAAATTGCACGTCCTCATACGCAGTCATTAGCGTTTTCCATGAAACAAAAATGGGCCTGATTTAGTATGTATTTATTTGGTCAACGTCAATCATATAATACAGCTTATATCAAAGGAGGGCAGACTTCACACACATATATGTGTATAACAGTTCTACAACTCATAACAATAAACCCCTCACTTAAAATCTATTGACAGTAAGATACTTCAGCAGTATTGCTGCTAATCCATTCCAAAAGCTCAGTGATGCGCGTGTAGACGCCTGGAACATTCCGTTTGGCGCACTCCTCGCCGAAAGAGACGATCCCCACCAAGGTGAACCTCCCGTCTTCTTCCACCGTCAGAGGGCCTCCCGAGTCGCCAGAACAACTGTCCTTCCCGCCTTTCTTAAAACCTGCGCACAGCATGAAAGTGTGATCAAAACACCGGCTATCTCCTTGCGCCCACACTCGACGATGGGTAAGTCGACTTCCCGAACGATGTCGGGGTACTTCTTGTCGCCATTGGTCGTGTCTCCCCAGCCGACGACTTTCCCGGTCTGTCCTTCGTAGACCTTCGTCGGGTCCGAAGGTAGGCACACGGGTCGGACCTCCGGGTGCGACGTGAGGTCCAGGGCCTCCTCCAGACGCAGGAGGGCGATGTCCAGGTTGAAGTAGTTCTCTGTGTAGCCTTCATGGAAGACGTAGCTCTCCAGGGCCAGCATCCGCGTGACTCCTTCGACGTCGTCGTCCTCAGAAGCCACGTCGTGCTCGGCGATTTTCACCCGAAACTTGGATGCGGGGTTCGGGCTTGTCCTTCGGCGAAAACATACAGTGCGCGGCCGTGACGACGTAGCGGGTGTTGATGATGCTCCCGCCGCAGAAGGGCTCCTTCAGATTCTCAATATCGTAGATGCGACGAGCCAGGGATATCTGAAGGGTGGGGACACCTCCGTCCCTCCGATGATGCGGTCGCCGTTGCTCACTCCGCAGCGACACTTGTCTGGGGAAGAAACGAGACTGTAGAGGATATATTATTATGTATGTCTACACACAAGCAAACACACACACACGTATGTATGTATATCATACATATAAGTTATGTATTATATATATATATATTATATATTTTTTTCATAACATACTTTCCCTAGCACTGGTACAAATGCATTTTTCGTTATATCTCAGTTTCCAAATGAGCCCTCACTGGCCTTCCTGGAGTTATTATAAAAGAAAAAATATTTTTTCCTTTCGGGGAGGGAGAGGGGTCTGCGCGAAATTGTGAAGGCTGAGAAAAGAAAAAAAAATAGTTTCGCAAATGATTGTGTGAAACATAACTGTAACACTTTATATCTTTTCACTTGTTTCTAGCAATCTTTCAGGAAATGTTTTTGTTTCAGAAATAAATGAGAATTACGAAATTCAAAGAGGGAAAGTTTGGTCTTGAAAAAGAAAGATTTTTCCTTTTTATTCTGTCGAGCCAGTTCGTTTCTCTTTTGGATTAATTATTAATCAGTCTTAAAAATGCCGCAGTGATTTTGTTTTTTTCATATATATCCTCTACCTTTCTCTATGGCTCCCCTTCCTTCTCTAGAAGGCACAGAGAAAGAGAAGAGAGAGAGAGAGAGAGAGAGAGAGAGAGAGAGAGAGAGACAGACAGAGAGGGAATGGAGAAAAAGACAAAGACACAGACTAGGGTTGGGGTGGGGGAGGGGGGGGGGGGTGTCGACCTGTAGCACAGAACGAGGGCTTGCGGTCCTTCAACCCAGGGTGGCTCACGACTACGGACACTGAATACATGTGTGATAAATAGGTCGTGCGTGTGCGTGTGTGTGCAGGGAAACACATATGGAAAAGGACACACAAACAAACACGCATAACACTGCTAAGTTGGGCTTTTGCTTTAGTGGTTCCGTCTTTCACGGACAACCGAAGATTTCGCAGGGCACCCAAGGAGAATTTCATTGCAGTTGAAGATATTTGCGAGTGATTTCCTCCTGCCCGTAGGATTGAAGCAAAGTCCGATGGCCGATTTAGACACTTTCACCACTATGACTGGGTCAAAAAGCCCAATTTCCTCCAGAGCAGCTGTCATATTTGCCCATGAGCACCAGGCAGTCTTCACTACAGCGTGCACAGTGTATCAGCTCTTACCGCCCCTGCAGCAGTAACAAAGTCTTAGCAAGCTGAAGATCGTGAAGAACTGCAGCAATGACTTAAATGTTCTTGCATGCGAGAAGGACCTCACAGGCACGTTAAATTTAAAAGAGATTGTTAACACTTGGTCGAAGATGAATTGCGCCGCCTGTCCATAAAATGAGTCTTTCCTTGTTTAGCAACCAGATTCATTCTGACAAATCAATATAATTCCAAATTCATGAAGCCCAAATATATGACGGGAGATGTAAGCTTTATTACAAAGACAAATCAAAACTAACAATTATTTCACGCTCACTATAGATAGATAAATATTGCACAGGCAGTCATGTTTCAAATTTTGTTTTTATTGCTTAGAAATTCATCCTTAATGACAAATTTACATTGATAAAGCCTTTACTAGCAACCTATAGAAGAACGTTTGCTTCGAGGTCTGCAGGGCACCACTCTGCTTTGCAGGCGAAAACCTCTTTCAACCCTCGAGAATTATTGGTCTAGTTAGATCCATGATGATATTGACTTTACATACATTGATTTTTTTGTCAGAAGGCCTTGGAATCAACCTCTATGAGCCGCTTTACATTGGTTGGATCAAACCATACCTATACGTCTTTCTTCTTGAATGATAGCTGGTTTTGGAAAATAATAGTATATTAGAAAATGAATAAATTAGTTAATAAAAAAAAGAAAAGAAAAGAAAACACAACGGATCACAACAAAACTCGCCAATATCCATATAGTGTCTACTCTCAGTAGCACACCAACATAATCTAAATACTGTGACATTGCCACTTAGCTCGACACTGTGTAGCTGTCCCCTTCGCCGAGACACCGTTGATCCATTTACCGACTCTTGTTCCCTCAGCGCTTGGGGCAGCGAAGTGGCGGCTGGGGACGCCACGCAGCGGGTTGCCTCCTCGTCGATCTGTCGTGATCAGATTTGCAATTGGTGCACACATAATTGCAACTGTTTCTCCCTCCTTCCATCATTCTCTACCTCCCTCCATCATTCTCTCTCTCTCTAACTGAGTCAACGCGACAGATCGATCATAACCTGCCTCCGAACAG